CCCCCCCCCGTAGGATCATAGAGTCTGTACGCCTTGCTCTCGGGTTTGTAGCGGATGAAGACAACTTTCAGCCCCCTGGGATCAAGCTTGGCAAGGTGGGGACGTGCTACCTTCATGTATGCAAGGCAGCCGAGCACTTGGAGATGATGTACTGCTGGTTTCTTGTTGGCCTTCGAAGAGGTATTTCGGCATTCCACCACTCCATTCTACTAGGGGGAGTAGGGTGCCGTTTTATACCGAACTCATCACAGTACTTACCAAAACTTATTGAGGTGAATTCTCCACCTCGGTCTGTGTGCAACACTCGCATCTTCTTTCCGCATTCGGCCTCCACTCGCGCTTAAATGCACTTAACCGCCTAAGCGGCTTTTGTCATTGACCAACAGGAGGAAGAGGGTCTTACCGCCTGGGGTTGCTTGATGGGCCCGCAGATATCGCCATGTACAAGCTTCCGATGTCTGGGATAGAAAAGGGGGAGGAAGAGGGTCTTACCGCCTGGGGTTGCTTGATGGGCCCGCAGATATCACCATGTACAAGCTTCTGATGTCTGGGATAGAAAGGGGGTGGTGCGCCTATGTTTGCCGGCAAACCGTGCACCATCTCCTCACATTCTGTAGTTTTTCTAGAGCAGGAAAGTTTAAGTGTCCGTCTTGGCCGAGAGGTTGACGGGTTGCGCTCATCCTTTATAGTTGAATTGGCTTCCCAGCTGGTGCCGCGCCATTTCCTCCTACGTGAGAAGGAGACGGCCCTCCTTGTCGACAGCTGAAGCAGTATTTTTCCTTCCGCTGCTCGACGTTGCTCGACGTTACGTAGTCTTTCGGTCACCTCTTCCACTGCTAGGTTGTTCAGTCAAGCATGGATCCTACGATGTGTGTATTTTCGCACTTAGCATTTTCTTCTACTCAAACCTGAGACCTATGTGTTGTTAGGTTGACACTCTAACCACTTGAGCTATTCAACTTGACTGTTGATAAGGTTGGCTCCTCCGTAATGATATACCATCGATATCTTCAACCGGAAACTGGCCGAAGGAAAATTTCTTCGAAAGAAAAAATAGCGGAAAGTAAAAGGAGAGAGGGGGAGATTTGTTGAAGACTCGATTGGTTATTTCTCATTCAGTTGAATTCTTTAAATAACAAACCTAATCATAAAAATAGAAAAGAGTGGGCAAAAACTTGGGCCTAAAGTTGGCCAAAATGGCCAGCAAAAATTACGACTCTTCCATTGAACGGTGAGCGTGAATTCAGAAATTTCAAAAGTCAAAAATAACTTAACAAAATCTAAGGACACCACAACTTTTATCTAACATCGAATCATTCCTTATATATTAAGGGGTGTCAATATGTCCAAGTGGTTAAGGGGAATGAATCATTCCTTACATAAGGGGTGTCAATATGTTCCAGTGGTTAAGGAGACAGACACAAAATCTTTTGGGCTTATGCTTGCACAAGTTCGAATCCTGTTGTTGAATCATTTCTTATATAAAGGGTGTTAATATGTCTGAGTGGTTAAGTTGACTCGAATGGGCTATGCCCTGCTCAGGTTCAAATTGACGATGAAATCAATATGTCTGAATGGTTAAGGGGAACGAATCATTCCTTATGTAAGGGGTGTCAATAGAGTGGCTTGAATGGGCCATACCCTGCTCAGGTTCAAAGGAACGAATCATTCCTTATGTAAGGGGTGTCAATAAAGTGGCTCGAATGGGCTATGCCTTGCTCAGGTTCAAATTAACGGTGAAATCACACATCGGTTCAACAAGGAACGAATAATTTTTTATATAAGGGTGTCAATATTGGGGATCAATACCAGTCGTTAGCTCTGATACTAGTTGTTGGGATCGCACAACAACGCACACGCTCGATCTAGATGAACACAAAGAATGAGATAGAGAAAATTGCAAGGAGAACTCTTCCTAATAGGTCTTCCTTCCTAATAGGTCTTCCAGGTGGTTGGTTAACCTCTTCCTAATAGGTCTTCCTAATAGGTCTTCCTTCCTAATAGGTCTTCCGGGTGGTTGGTTCACCTCTTCCTAATAAGTCTTCCAGGTGGTTCACCTCACCTCTTCTTAATAGGTCTTCCAGGTGGTTGGTTCACCTCTTCCTAATAGGTCTTCCAGGTGGTTCACCTCACCTCTTCCTAATAGGTCTTCCAGGTGGTTCACCTCGTCCTAATAGGTCTTCCAAGTGGTTCACCTCTTCCTAATAGGTCTTCCAGCTTCCGGTACCTAGCC